CATAAACTTTTCCCCCTGCTCCGACCCCTTCAGCACTTCTTAAACTGTGAGTCTCGACCCCATGGGTCTTGACCCACAGTTTAAGAAGGGCTGAAGTGGGCTGAATCTAATAAGAGGAAATTAGAAAGAGGTGGTGTAAAAGTCTTACAATCGGGACCAAAGAGTCACCTTCATAAGCACAAAATGAGGGTGGTATGGGTAATGACAGTTTGCCTAAATGAACTCTTGGGATTTTAATGGACTGACTGCTCAATATGAGTCAACAGAATGATACAGGAGCCAAAAAGCTGCTACATGTCAGACAGCATGAAGAGAGCCTGCAGGCTGTTCCTAGGGAGGATGGGCCCGCTCTTCTCTGCCTTAGTATGATCATATCCAGAATATTGTTTTCATTTCTAGGCATCACATCATAGAAAGGACATTGATTAGATGTGGGGCATGTCCAGAAAATGTTGACCAGGATGGCCTCAAGAGCATGCCATAGGAGGACTCGATTAGAGAATTGGGCTTTTAGTCCAGAGAAGAGAAAAAGGGACATGAAAGCTATTTTCAAACATTTCAAAAGCTGTCATGTGGAAGAAGAAATAGATTTGTTCTTCTTGGCCCCTGAAGGAAGGGCCAAGCACCATTGCTGGTAAAAGTGCATTGATGAATTCCCTGTCTATACCAAGTCTCTTTAAACAACTCCCCCCTCCCATTTTTTTTTGGAGGCAATCTGGGTTAAGTGACTTGTCCAGGGCCACACAGCTAGTAAATGTCTGAGGTCATATTCGAACTCAGATCCTCCTGACTGATAGAGCACCTAGCTGGTGCTCTATCCACCATGTCACCTAACTGCCCCAATGATTCCCTCTTTCTCTTCCTCATCGGAATGGGTTTTCTTTGTATCTTCAAAATGTTGTCCTTAAGAGTTTCCTGTCCCTCTGGAGGCTAACTACCCTTGTGGAATTTTAGCCCACAACGTCTTTCCTATCCTTTACCTTTGGAAACTAACCCTTGCAAAATCTAGATTGTGTTTTAGATTACACCCGGCTTTACTCTTCTCACTAATTCTAAGGTGGATGATTCAGTCCCCCAACATCATTTGTGTTCCACTATCTGGTTCAGTTCTTCCTTTACTGAGAGAATCAGCTACAAAGGAGCAGTTCTCCTCATTCATTTCAACTGCCTTTTGAAGGATGAAATGATAATTAAGGCCAGTCAAGGAAATGTTACCTGCTGGTTTTGGTAGGTCTGGCTAATGGAGCACAACTTTCTTCTGCTCCTGCTCAGATGGCCTCAGATGACAATGTCACTTCTGTCTCTGCATCCTTCAGTCTTTACCCAGATGATCCTCACCATACTTCCTGCCTCCAATTTCTGAATTACTCCACATTAACATGTCAATTCTGAAAGCAATCGGGGTTTGGACAAGCCCAGCTCTTATAAAAATGCTCAAAGTGGCTGATGCAGGCTTCAGAGCTTGTCTGGTTATTCTAAAATTGTCTTCAGTCCACAAACTACAGACTGAAGAAATGGTCTTTTGGTTGGTTGCTGACCTGGAACTAGGTTAGCACTCGGAGACACCAATCAATTGGTAGGGCAGCTAGGGGCCACCACAGTGCACAGAGTGCCAGGCCTGGAGTCAGCAAGACTCATCTTTTTGAGTCTGACCTCAGACCCTTACTAGCTGTGTGACCCAGACAAGTCACTTCACCCTGTTTCCCTCAGTTTCCTCATCTGTAAAATGAGCTGGAGAAAAAAAATGGCAAAGCACTCCGGTATCTCTGCCAAGAAAACCCCAAATGGGGTAATGGAGAGTTGGACGTAGCTGAAACAAGTCACAAAAACAATCCATCGATCTAAGTGAGCCTGTCTGTCTCTGCACTAGCTGCAATGAAGGGAGGACAGCATGCTTTAAACTGGGTGGGAAGAGAGGCTTTGGCCCTGAATCTCCCCCCTGGGCCCATGAACATAGGTTCTCTTTCTTTCTCTTCGGTCTAGGAGTATCAGACTAGGCTATAGCCTTATGACTTTCAGAAGGTAGGGAGAATCAACCGCAAGAGGTTTGGGAGCTGGAGTCTGTGGTCGGGTTGGCCTAGCTCACCAGCACGGCCCCAAGGAGCGAGTGGGACCCATCCTAGCAGCAGACTGACCCAGAAGCCAGCATACCAGTTCCTCTGAGCAAGGGAGTGACTCTGCCCATTGGCTATGCCAGATTTGGAAATGAACTTGGTGGGGCAAATGCTTTACAGCAACTGTCCCAGGACCTGGCACAGGGAGATTGGAACCCTAGTATTTGCATGAATGGTTTGTACTTCTTGCTAAATCTTCTCAGTAAATATCCCCTGGTAAAATCTAACGGATGTGAATTGGTTAAGTGATATTGAAGTTCTAACCACAAGAGGTTAACATTGAGGAGAACAAACTGGAATTGAGTCTCAAGCCAATGGGATCAGAGACAAATCCTGTAACCCCTCAGGGGTGCCCCTGGGACCATGAGGGGAAGACGTGGCCACCCTTGGTGAAAGGGGCCTGATTCATCAGTGCAAGCTGGCGTCAGGACAAGGCCCCCAGACCTCATATGGACTACACTAATATCCAGCACTTTTCTCTTGTTACAGGTGGTAGAGGTGACAAATACCAGCCTTCACTGTTTGCCTGTTTTCCTTTTGATCCTTACTGGATAATCTCTCACCTGAAGGGTATTCCTTAGAGGGCAGGCAGCTGTTCAGTCCTCAGAGGGAGGAGCCTGGTGTTTATTTGGTGTTCAGTTGTTTTTCAGTTGTGTCCGACTCTTTAATACCCGAGGGTTTTCTCGGCAAATATACTAAAGTAGTTTGCCATTTCCTTCTCCAGCTCATTTGACAGAAGAGGAAACTGAAGCAAACAGGGTGAAGTGACTTGCCCAGGGTCACACAGCTAGTAAGGGTCTTAGGGCAGATTTGAACTCAGAAAGATGAGTCTTCCTGACTCCAGGCCTGGCACTCTGTGCACTATGGTGCCCCCTACCTGCCATTTAGTACTTATTTTCAAATGTCCTTTAATCCTTTCTATTTTTCCCCTCCATATCACATTTGTCCACTCCCCAGCCTCCCAGCAGATTCCTCATCTATAAAATGAAAGAAGTCTGATCCAGCTCTGAAATTCTACGATCCTATGAATTATCAGTAACAGGATATTCAAGAAATAGTTGTTAAATGCCTATTAGGTACAAAGCCCTAGTGTAATGATGTATATTTATGCAGGGGTTTAAGGTTCACAAAGCATTTTCTTCACAACAATAAAAGGAAGCAGGTGTTATAGGAATCATAGTCCCCCTTTTAAAAATGAGGAAACTGAGGCTCAGAAGTGAAGTGACTTGCCCAGGATCACACAGCTCTCATCAGACCCAGAATTTGAATGCTGCTCTTTCCTGACCACATGTCCAGAGCTCTTTTTATCCACCACATGATTTCCAGCTCTGTGGTATACAAAGAAAGGGTGACACATAGAGCGTATAATCTAGATGGGAAGGCAAGGCACACCACTCCTCAATGCTTCAAAGATCTTTGGTTTCTCCTTCCTCTGCTGTATCAGGCAACCCTTTGTGACCCAGATGGTCTTCAAGAATTGCCATGGCCAAAAGAGTTATGAGCCCAAAGCCAGCCTGGTAGTGAACCTCTCTGAACTCAGCTAGTCTGATCTGGGGGCAACAAGCATACAGTCTATCACCAGTTTCATGATCAGGGATATATTTAATGTACCTAAAATTTTGTCTGGGTAGACATGCCCCTCACTGACACAGACTGCTACCCCTCTGTGACTTAGTGTTATTGGAGAGTCGTTAATGGCCGAAAAATCCATCATCCTGTGGTGGACCTGGTAATGAGGTTTTTATATTTAGATGAAAAAATTCATAGGCTCATAGATCCAGGGTTAGAAAGGACTTCAAATCCCAACCACCTCATTTTACTGATGTATAAACTGAAGCCCATAAAGATGAAGGTCATACAGGTAAAACAAATCAAAGGTAAGATCTGAATAATTAAGAGTATGTAAAATGGTAGACAGTGTACCCTGCTGGAGATCTTTTTTAGACTTGTTCTCATTCACCTTCACAATTTGTGATATACTTAGCACCATTCTTCATAATTCTTTAAAAAGTTAAGTAATTAGATTATTATATTCATTCCTTGTTGGGGGGGAGGTGGATTAGAGAAGCAGAGAAAAGTTGAATGATTGGCCAAAACTCCAATTTGGTGGTAGTGATAGAAAAGAGAACAATCTCAGAATCTCTGTATTCTATTCATTGTTGTGCCCACACACTTCGCACCTATACCAGGCAATTGTAATCAAAGGGTTAGATATTTTGCTTTTCAGTTTTAGCAATGGAGATTCAGAACCCAGAGTATTCATAGATTTGTCCCTTCCAAGTGGTTTGAAAGGGAGATGTTGAGTATCAGTTATTTGGTGATTTCATAAAAATTCAGTTTTATGATTTTTTTCAGTTTGAGCCTACGGATTAGAGAAGGCATTTTCCCTGCTTGTGAACTGAGGGGATTCCTTTTTTCTAATAACAGCTGAGGCAGAGCTGTGGATGTACTATACACTATGATCAAATGGTAAATTGGAGACAAATTAGCCATGAGCAGAGTTCATGCTTTTAAGTTCAGAACCTAATTCATTTTATTTCATCTTTAACAAATCTCAAATGTACAGAGAAATGAGACTCTGGGTTCTTGCTAATTATAAATAAGAAGTTCTACATAAATATAAACAGTGCCATCAACCACTACATCTTTTCTTTACACTAAAGAACTGGATTCATTTATTATAGAGCTAGCAGATGTGTGGATGATTGACAAAGGAAATTCAGCAGACTGTCTCCACACTTAGCCCACCAACCCCTCTTATCAGTTTTGAAGGGAGAACATCTCCCCTTTTCTTCCTAGTGCTAAATACAGAGAAGTCTTTGCCAAACAGTCTCTCTCTCCTGTCCTCACTTCTCCTCTTCTCTCCCCATTTCTCTCTCTCTCTCTCTCTCTCTCTCTCTCTCTCTCTCTCTGCAATTCAAAGTATGTCTCTGAGTATTTGTATAAACTAAGTTACATAATTGTTACATAAGAAACAAAACAGGAAAACCATGTAAGGAGGCTTTAACTCCAGTTGTTTGAAAGGTAGATACTACTTAGGTAGTAAATATAAAACATACACACACACACACACACACACACACACACACAAACAAGTCTCAAAGTACCTGTGAATTTCAAAGCTGGCTGAAGAATCATTCTCAAATATCCATCTAATGATTACAGCATTCCCAAAGTGGAATGAGCTGCCTCATAAAGTCATTAGCTCCCCATCATTGCAAGTCTCACATGGAGGCAGGTTTACCATTTGTCAGGGATGTCATAGGGGTAATTCCTATTCTGGACTAGATGGCTTCTGAAATCCCTTGCTGCTCTCAGACTCTGTGGACCTTCTACCTTAGTCAGTGTTGTGGGCTGCACCGGTGGCCATAGCCACAGAGGCATATTGCAAGACCATCAAGAAGTCGCTGTAGTACTAACATAAAGAAGAAACAAAAGAAAGGTGATATTTTATTCATAGTTTACAAAAAATCTATATTTTAAATCCTACATGGAAATTGGTTAAAAAAAATAAAGAGAATTTATGCCCATAATACTCTACGAAAAAAGTCTAAGGTTTTTTCTCATGTACACACACAGAAGTCACTCTATAGCATAAAGGTATTTATTTTGACGAGTGAATAAAGGTTAATATTATTTGCACAAGGTGGAATCGGCTCCATTTTGAGCATAGACAAGAAACAAACATATAACGAAAGCAAGGGGTATCCATCACTTGATCTGAAACATGTCAAACTTACAAAGTTTACGCAAGTTCATTCTCTGAGGATTAAAGCTGCAGGACAGTCTCATCTTATTGTTTCTTAGAGATTGAATATTTTTCCTCAAAGCAGTCAGAAAAAGAGTGGGGAGAGGGAGAAAAAGTCCTCGAACTAATCTGCATGATCAGTTCATTTAAAGTTTTCATAGCAAGCAACAAAATGACTCAAAAGATTGATTCTACACTCTATCAATTCTACATAAATGTCAGTGGGGGAAGAAAATCAAGGTTATGGAATCCTCTGGATTGATAAGCTTTGTTCAAAAAAAAAGTTATGAATTGGCTAACCTTCTTCTAGAGATGCAATACTTCCCAAACAAAATCTGCTTCTAGGAAGCCACTTCAGGGGATGAAGCTGAGAAGCCCCAAACCCTGCACCTTTTCCACCTGATCCTCTAGCTTCCAGCAATGGTTAGATAATGACTGGCACCCATTGGCCTTAAGTGGCCATTTGAAAGTGTTCAGGCTGATAGCCAAAGAGTCTTTGGGCATAGTGCTCACTCTCACCCGGGAGCTTGGGTCCGACAAGCGCATGGTAGCTGTCCTGAGGGAAGTGTTCGCAGTGCAGATTAATCCAGTCTCTCTCTGTGCTGTACCTCTCTGCTTCAGCCAGGATCCGGGTCAGAGCCATGATGTAACTGAGGGCCATCTGCAGGGTTTCATACTTGGATAGCTTTTTATCTTGGCCCCACTGGGGGACCACTTTTCTCAGGCGATCAAAAGCTGTGTTGAGCCCTTGCATCCTCCGCCTCTCCCTGGCGTTGGCAGCCAGCCTTCTTCGGGCAGCATTTTCCATCCTTTCGGAGCCACACTTTCCCACACACTCGATGCCACCTTTGCACTGGGGCTCAGATTCCAGACTGGAATCCAGGGAGTTTGGTTTGCAGGATTTCATACCTCAGGAAGTTTTGATTCAAAGCACCCTCACCCCCAAAGTTTTGGCAGCAAAGAAGAAATAGTAGGGAAGGATATGGGCAAGGGAATCTTCTCTCTCAGGATCAAAACTGTTTTTACCTGTTCTGAATGAGACCCCACTTGAGCAATGAAGAAGGGAACTTAGGAGAAAAGCAGTTAGTTTGCAGGAGAGGAATTTGCTGTCTTAAGGCAGAGATAGGGAAATTGAGATGCTGAATAGAGCTCCATCTTCCCAAAGTCAAGTTCTAAACAACAAAGGGTTTTTCTCCTCCGTAGTACTTTCGGGCACGAAATAAATTTAGTTTGGTTGATTGATTAGAGGTGCTATTGGGTCCTCAAGGAAAGCATCACTTTTCAGTAGGATATATTCTTTCATGAAGAGAGAGAGAGAGAGAGAGAGAGAGAGAGAGGAGAGAGAGAGAGAGAGAGAGAGAGAGAGAGCACTTCTTCCTTAGTAGCAAACACCAATATCTTTGAGAGAGGAGGAGGAGAATTTATAGCAGAGGATTGGAGGATTGAACAGGTGGTAGCAGGTGGGCTGGCGTCCCCCTGCCTCTATCTCAGCACCTTCCTGCCCTGGGAACTGCAGGGAGAGAGGGGGGAAAAATCCTGGTAAAATCCTGACATTACTGCTTTCATCTGTTGAAGTCTCTCCAAAGCCATGCCTGTCCAGCCCTAACAACGCACCATCTGGAGCAGCCTAGCTGTCCCCAAAAGAATCACAACAGTCAGGGGAGAGAACAAAAACGACCTTTCCCCTTGGATAATCATTTTCAGTATTAGCCATCAGCATTTATAGCCAGAATTAAGCAAATGTCTTTTTTATAATAATTATCTTAAAATTTATCTGCTTTGATGATGATTTGGGGGTGATGTGTTTAGGTAGCATTTTAGTAAATAAAAATTTGACTTTAATAGAATAAGCAACTTGATCTAAATGGTTGGTTAAATATATTGAACCCTCTGATTAAGTCTGTTAGACAAATTGGAACAAAGTAGAAGGTTCTAACTAATATCATTCCAGGACAGAAATTTTCTCCTAAGAATATTAGTACCCATTTTCTACCAGGAATATCGATAACATTTCAAAATATATAGCATACATATAAAACATTTTTATTTAATCCTTAGTAGATTGCATTGAGCCCTAGGCAAATGAATTCAGCATTTGTCCTTCATTTGTTATTATGCAAATTCATGAATAATATGTGTTATACATATGTGAACTTGGGTATGGATAGCACATTTAAATTTGTGATTTTGAAGTCTGTTTAAACTAATCATAAAACACATTACCCAAATGTGTGTCATCCCAACTTATAAATAGTTTATATTCTAAGAAGTTTAGAATGAGTTCTTTTAAACTACAAGAAGAATTCTTTTTTTCCCTTATGGGACTAATAATTAACAATACATCTGGAAGAGATATGTCAAAATTGACTTGAGTATTTCATTTGTTTTGACCATACTCCTTAAACAATCAATATTTAATTTGTTAATTAAAGAACAAAAACATGAGATTGTTCTCCCCTCAGCTTGTTTCTGATTCTTGACGTGGTGGAAAGATCTAAAGAAACCAGGCATCCCTCAACAAGGGTGTGAGGGAGGAGGGAGGGAGGGAGAGAATCTGGAATTCAAAATTTTTAAAAATGAAAGTTAAAAATTGTTTTTACATGTAATTTTTAAAATGAGTGAATAAACGGTGAAATCAGGCGTCACACTCATTTTCACAGGATTTCTGGATTCTTTGGGGAGAAGATTGGACTCTTTTTTCTTCCTTTCTGAAATATGGATTATGTCAGCGTGGAGTTCAGATTTGCCATTAAATTAAATTATCGATGAGAGCTCACAAATTGTGAGCCTTTTCCTAAGGACTTGGAGCCCCCGCCCCACCCCCACATTGTTTTCCCTGTGACTTGGGAGTCCCTGCCTCCCCAGGGACAGTTATTAATCCCTGGTTGAGACCCTGACAATGAAGTGGAGTTGAATAATAGGAAGACAAGGGGATGCAATTGGACATTAATGGACTCTGGCCTAACAGATGTTGGATGCAGGCTGGCCACTCCTCCCAGTGCCTTGGCTGCTGCGACGAGAGCATGGCAGTCCTGCTATGATGGGAACGTGGTCGTACTTTGTTACCAAAGTGTGCACTATGCAGTTCAGATTTGGGGAGAGCTCTGGCCAGATGTTCTGATTATTCCCCATATTCCTTCTTTTCATCCCTTTCTCATAGGAACTCTCTCTGTCTCTCAGTCTGTTTCTGTGTTTTTCTCTCTTTGTCTCTCTGTCTCTCTCCCTCCCCCATCTCTGTTTCTGTCTCTCTCTCCCCGTCTGTCTCTGTCTCTGTCTCTTTCTCTCTGTTTCTCTCTTACCGCCCCCCGCCCCGCCCCCTAGAGCATCACTTGGTAGGGCAGCCAGATGCCACCTTGAGACTGTTCTGAATTTTTTGTCTAAAGCGTCTGCCCCCTTCGTGGCCAGGTCATCAAATGTCTTTCTTAGGAACAGAAGTAGTATGTGAAGAACAAAAGAAAACATAGTCCCATCCCCTGAGCATGGCTGTACATGAAGGTACATTTTTAGTGTCCCTTGGGAGTCTGGTGAAGCCTAGGGACCCTTTTCAGAATCATGTTGTCAAATGTGTAAAAGAAAACACATATGGTCACAAAAATAAGCCCATCATGTTGAAATACAGTTATTAAAAAAAAAAAGTTGAAGTTCTTGGACCCTCAAGTAAGAATCCCTTCCATACAAGGCATGTGAACTCTGGCCACAAATTTACACTCTCTGTGTTGTGTTGTATTTGTTTTTATTCAGTTAAACATTTCCCAAAGTCCAGATTGCTCTAAGGAGTTTTGTTGGCTGTGAGTTTCACCCTTCTGGGCTTAGATGACCACAGATTATTAGTGCTGGAAGGGGCCTTACAGGGATCCTGGCTGAATTCCAACATTTTGTAGAAGAGAAAACACAAGCTCTAAGAGGAGGGATGGGCCCAAGTGGGAGCCAGAGCCAGAGTGACAGAGCAGGCTCCAGCATTGGTCAGACCAGGAGTCAGGGCTTCTGACTCAGATCAGTATTTGGTCTGCTCGCTGATGTGGGTGATGAAGGAAGAGTAAGACCCCAGGGTATCGACTTGTCTTAGGGCTTATTTATTTGACATGAGGGCAGAGACTCCCCAAAGTGAGTTTACATGGGGCTTGAATATTCTCAAACCACAAAGGAGGAGAAAGGCAGAAGGAGATTGGGAGGGGCTGTTTCCGGAGTGGGCTGGTGATATGATACCTTGATCTGAAAGGCCAAACTGATTCCTGAAATCAGGGCACATTTGAAGTCTCCCTGAACATATGGCATCATACAGGATATTCTTGTGGAGGGGTCACTGGGATTGGGGGCGTGGCAAGGAGTTCCTTTAATTGGTGAGGTAATGCTTAACACAAGATGGAGTGAGCTGTGATCCAAATTGGAAAGGGCCTGGTTTCCAGTCCTGCCCCTGATTCTGACCTACATTATCTTGGGTAAGACACAGCATCCCCAAATCCCAGAATCTATAAAATGAAGGACCTGGAAGGTATTATTGTTCTAGTCGTGCCCAACTCTTCATGACCGCATTTGGGGTTTTCTTGGCAAAGATACTGAAGTGGTTGCCCATTTCCTTCTCCAGCTCATTTTACAGGTGAGGAAACTGAGGCAAACATGGTTAAGTGACTTGCCCAGGATCACACTAGTAGGTGTCTCAGGTCAGATTTGAACTTAGGTCATCTTGAGTCCAAGCCAGCACTCTGTCCACTGTGCCACCTAGCTGTCCTGATGGTGTTGGGAGTGGGCATAGAATAGTAACATATTAGTTTAGGTCAGATTTTGTAACAAATTCAAACAGTCCATTTGGTCAGCTGCATATAACAGAAGTTCGTAATTTCATTTACAGCAGTCTTTATGTTCTTGTATAATACTCATGTTTGTTGACACTGAAATTCATAATAAAAGAGAAAAACTTGTAAAATTACATTCTTTGTTGAATCTACATTACTCCATATGTGTAGAAATTGTGATTTTTACCTATATGTTTAAGATTATGTAATATCTGTGTAATGTTGACAGTTTTGAGATTCCAGCATGGAAATTCAATTTAATTAAATAAACATTTATTAAGTGCTTGCTATGTACCAGGCACAGCGCTAAGCACTGGGGATGAAAAAAAAAAGAGGCCAAAGATAGTCCCTGCTGTCAAGGAGCTCACCATCTAATGGGGGAAATAATATCCAAACCAATATATGCAAAGCAAACTATATTCAGAAAAAGTAGGAAATAATTAAAAGAGAGAAAACATTGGTATTAGTAAGGGTTGGGGAAGGTTTCCTGTGGAAGGTGGGGTTTTAGTTGGGACTTCAAGGAAGCCAGGGAGGTCAGTAGCAGAATGGAGAAGAAAGAGCATTCCAGGCATGGGGGCTAATCAGAGCCAAGAGACGGAGTGTCTTTTTCATGTCAGGGCCAGTGTCTCTGGATAGAAGAGTACATGGAGGGAACAAGGTGTGAGAAGAGTGGAAAGGTAGGAGGAGGTGGGTTATGGAGGGCTTTGCATGCCAAACACAGCAATTTGTCTCTGCTCCTGGAAGCAATAGGGAGCTACCGGAGTTTATTGACTAGAAGATGACATGATCAGGCCTCTGCTTTAGGAAAATCACTTTAATGGCTGACAGGAGGATGGACTGAAGTAAGGAGAAACCTGAGGCAGGCAGACCCTCCAGGAGGCTATTGCAATAATTCAGATGTAAGGTGATAAAGGTCTGTGCCAGAGGTGTGGCCAGTATCAAAGGAGAGAAGCGACATATTTGAGAAATGTTGCAAAGGTGAAATCGACAGGCCTTGGCACCATATTGGATATGAGTGGTGAGAAAGAGTAAGGAATCCAGGACGACTCCTAGGTTGTGAGCCTGAGGGCCTGAGAGGATGGTGGTGCCCTCTATAGTGATGGGGAAGGGAGGAGAGGAGGAAGGTTTTCGGGGAAAGACAATGAGTTAGTTCTGTTTTGCACATATTAAGTTTAAGATGTCTACTGGACATCTAGTATGAGACGTCTGAAAGACAATTGGACATGTTGGATTGGAGGAGAGCAGAGACATTGGAACAGGACTGGTAGAACTGAGAAACAGCAGCATAGAGATGTAATTAAACTCAAGGGACTTGATGAGATCATCAAGAGAAATAGTCTAGAGGAAGAAGAGAAGAAGGCCTCAGACAATCCTGAGGAACTCCTCCATTTAGCGGGCATAATCTAGAGGAAGATCTACTAGAGGAGGAGCAGTCGGACAGGTAGGAGGAGAACCAGGAGAGAGAAATGTCCCCAAAACCTAGGAAGAAGAGAGGGCAAGAGAGTGATCAGCTGTGTCAAGGGCTACGGAGAGGTCAGGGAGGATGAGAATTGGGAAAAGGACATTGGGTTTGGCCACCAGGAGATCAGTGGTAACTTTGGAGAAAGGAGTTATCAGTGGGCTCCAGAAGAAGAACTCTCCTGAATGTTCCTGTATGTTCAAAATGTGCTCCAGCACAGTTTAATGGGGCGGTCTATTCCTAGGAATCTGAGAAGCTCTGACTGACGTTGATGGGCAAATAAGTGACCACAAGGAGAAAGAAAGAAGGGATGCTCTTAGAACCCAGAAGTTCTACTAGCTGACATTTGTGTAGCCTTCAAAGGTCTGTAAAGCACTTACCTCATTTGAGCCTCATAACAACTCAATGAAGTAGGCAACACAAGCAATGTAATACCCATTTTACAGATGTAGCCTCTCTGTGGCTCTGCCAAGAGAACAGCAAAGTCTCAGAAGTCCTAAGGAATTGAAGTAACTGCCCCACTAGGAGGGGTGGGCTCACACATTGTTGAAAGCTCCAAGGTCCACCCTGACCCTGACCTAGAGGTCAAAGGGGCTTGTGGGAAAAAGAAAGAGAAACATGTTATCACAAGCAAGAGATGAGTGTAGACACCTAGAGAGCAGAGAGCAGCCGTCTAGCTAGTTCCAGCCAAGGTGATGACCATCTAGGAAATCTAAAGATGGCCAGACACTCCTCCTACCCCCTTCCCTCTGAAGGGACAGAAACAGAATGTCCCAATGGATTGTTTACTTTCCCTGACTTCCTGTTCTTTCTGTCTATCCCCAGGTTGTTTGAAAAGGGCAGCTGGCGACTTCACAGTCAGCCCCTTCCCTTAAATGTTCAGCTTAATTTCTGAGCTTTGAACACGGGACAAGAATGTGGACCAGCACAAATGCAAACCACAGGCTGCATTTTACGTATTCAGATCTAGAGGGAGGATAAGGAGGAAAGGGGGATCCCCTTTTCTGGAGAGAGATCTCATGTCTATCTGAATTAGGCTGGGAGGCTTTGGAGCAAGGTAGAGCTTCCCAGGAGGTTTGGTTTTTCATTTTGTTTTGTTTTTTGAGGCAATCAGGGTAAGCAACTTGCCCAGTGTCACACAGCTAGTAAATGTCTAAAACTAGATTTGAAGTCAAATCCTCACGACTCCAGAGCCAATGTTTTACCCACTGTACTACCTAGCTACCCCAAGCTGCTAGATCTTTTATTGAGAGACAGGAATACAAGCTGAATGAGCTTTTAGGATAAAGTATGGAAACTGGCTGTAGACTTTGCATGCTGGAAAAGAATCTAAGAGCAAGATAGTCCTAAAAAAAATGGGAGCTGGTAGGGGCAGCTAGGTGGCACAGTGATTAGAAATCTGGCCTTGGAGTCAGGAGGACCTGAGTTCAAATCCAGGCTCAGACACTTGACATCTACTAGCTGTGTGACCCTGGGCAAGTCACTTAACCCTGATTCCCTCATCAAAAAAAAAATGAGAGCTGGTACAACCAAGACAATCCTCAGGGAGGTGGGACAGCTAAGTTAGGGGTTAGGTAGGTGTAACCACCATCTGGCTTAGCCTATAAATGGTAACGTGGGGGATGGGGAGGGGCAGCATCTACCAGACTAGAGGGAAGTTCCCAGGATCCTTGTGGGAAGAACAGCCTTTATATGTCAGGATGGTTCCATTTTCACATCCTCTCTCACGCTCCCCTTCTCTTCCTCTATAGCCAGGATTTACCTTCTTCTCTAATGGAACCTCTGGACCAAAGGCCATGCTCCCCACCTAAAGCTCATCAGTCCCTACACCATCAGTATTGCCCTCTTCACCTGGACTGTAACCAAGTTCATTAACTCTCTCCCTGCCTTTGAGGCACAATCCTTAGCCAAACAAAAGTGCATTCAAGGACAATTTTCATTTTCCTCATGCTGGTAACCCAGGTTTTCTAAGGCCATCACTAAGACCTAGGAGATACTAGATTTTGCCATATGTTTTACTCTCCTTGTACAGTTTCTTAGGCCATCACTGGGCTAATCCTATGTGGTCAGTGGAGGTCACCTTCTTGCTGCATTGAAAGGGTTCCCCATTTATGGATGAAAGGACAATGTGCTAGAGTGTGTCAGAGTCTAGAATGTAGCCATTCAAACACCCAGTACTCCCCTTTAACCTTGTCCCTCCACCTCACTTCAAACATGAGAATTATGATGTTAGTGGTGATCCAATTCCGCCACATTTCCTGGGCCAGGCTTAACTCAGGCAAATCCAGTAATTCAGGCTCAGGACTACAATGAAATGAAACACTTACGGACCATAAAAATAAAATGAAAATTATTTATTAACGACTGAAAGGATACAATTAGTAAAAAGATTGATACCAGTGGCAGAGACCCAGACCAGCCTGATTCTGGAGCCATCTCTAGATGGAATCCCAAAGGGAAGGTAGAACACTTCTTGTCTAGAACCGTCGACCCTTTCGGGGCCCCAGGACACCTCCCTCAAGTTCAGCTGTTAAACGCTTATCTCTTTCGAGTGGTTGCCGTCTCCCAAAGAGAAAGGCAGCTGGGGGGGGGGGGGGGGGGGGCTATGTACATGCTGATCTAGAGCAGGCAGGCAGAAGCATAGCACCAGAGGTCTGGGGAGATTCGAGCTGTCAGTGTAGATGGAGTGGCACGGCACTGCAGTCCAATCCAACAAACATTGATTAAGCACCCACTGTGTTTCTATCTTCACAATGTTTCTTGAAGGTGCCCTTCCTCTGGCACTGGCAGCACCTGGGCCCAGAGCCTCATCACCTGCCTGGATTATTAGCTGCCAGCTGGGGGTCTGCCTGCCTCACTTCTCCCCCCACGCCAGTCCTTTTTCCATTCAGCTGTCAAACTGAAAGACCTAAAGCTTGGGTCTAATCATGTTACCACCCTACTCAATAGATTCTCCCAGTGGCTCCCAATCACCTACAGCATCGAATATAAAATCTTCTGCCTTTCATCTTGTTGCGCTTTCCTACCTTTCCAACCGCCTTACACTTTACTCTGCCTCCACAGACTTTACAATCCAGTGACGCTGGCCCCCAGCTGCTCCTCCCTCAAGACTCGGGCTTCTGACTCCATCCACGCCTTCTCACTTGCTGTCCCCCAGCACTGGAATGTTCTCTGTCCTCCTGGCTTCGTTGGCATCAGCTGTAATCCCACCTTTCTCCGCCATCCCCCCCCCCAATGCCTCCCCTCTGAACTCGTTCTCCATTCACACGGTACAAGACTATGACCAGCGATCGGGGCGTGGTGGGGCGGGGCTGGGCGGGGCAGGAAAGGCATCTGGCAGCCGTTGGAAGTTAAGCAGAGTCCTCGAGGCAGAGGGGAGAAGGCAGAGCATTCCTGGCATGGAATATGTACGTGGTACTTACGTGTTGTTTCCTCATTAAAAGGTGAAGAAGACCTCGAGGGCAGGGACTGATTTGGTTTTGTCCCGGTGTTTCTAGCGCCCAGCCATTCAGATCTGGCACAAAAGACCATCTCCTGACTTCCCATCTGGTCAATGACTGTGCCCTGCCTGGAATGCTCTGCCTCCTCCCTTCTGCCTTCTGGACTCCTGCAAGACCCAGCTCAAATTCCACCTGCTGCCAGATGCCTTTCCTGCCCCGCCCACCACCACCCTACCACCCCACCCCTGCCCACCCCCCATCGATGGTGAGGTGACTTCTCCGTCATTGTTCTGTGCGCCCGTCTCTTCCCCATTGGAATGTGATGCCTTAAGCATAGGAGCCATGTTTTTGTCTTTTTTTTTCTTTTTAATCCTCAATATTGAATATAGTGCCTGACAGGACAGAGCAGGCACTGAAATGCTTACTGACTAACATACAGAAGAAAATAAATATAAAGGAATGACAATTTTCAGGAGGGAAAGGGCGCTGAGAACTTGGATGGGGACGAGAGAGGGTATCAAATCAAGATAATCCATCTAGAAGGTGCTGCCTGAGCTGCGCTTGGAAGGAATCTGGCAATTCTAGGAGGAGGAGATGGGAAGGGGGTAAATTCCAGCCATGGGCCCCAGTCCTGTGCAAAGGCACAAGAACGTTGTGTATGGGGAACTGCTACCAACCAGGTCGACTAGGATGGGGAAGACAGGAAGAGGAGTGATAGGAAACGTGACCGAAAAGGTGGGTGTGAGCTAGATCACGGACGGCTTTAAATGTTAGGCTGAGGACCTGGTGTTTTACCCTAAAGGCAAGGCAACAATTGAAGCTTTTTGAATTGGGAGGTAGAGGCACCGAATGGTGATGTGTGGCACGTGTTGACCTGATTGGTTCGGGAGCTTTGGGTTTGGTTTGGTTTTTATCAATATCGATAAGACTCGTCTGGAGCTAATTCTAGATGAGGCTTCACTGATGCTGTGTGCCAACTTGATGTGACTTTTTTGCAGAAGCCTCAGGGGCGTCCTGTCCTGCTGAAAGGACACGGCGATCAGGATCTTTCTGCTGACCTAGAATTCTACGTTAAGCGATGACGATGTCTAGGGAGCTTGTATTTCTGTTGGGCAAACAAGTTAATCTGGTGTTTCTGTTTCTTTTAAATATGTGTTGATTATGTCTAGGGATCATATGTGAATGGGTGTTGGGGTGGGATTGAAAGGTCCTTGAGGGGAAGGAAGGAGCTGCTTTTTGAATCATGCCGCCCTACCCGACTTGGAGCACCTTGTTTTTAATAGGTCCTCAAGAAGTACTTGTGGCCTTATTGAGCAATGGTTTGGAGATCCTGGTCGATGATGTCTATGACTCCAAAGCAGCAGGGCCGACATTTCCAAGCCAAAGGCACCGGCATCTTAGCCGGGAAGAATCAGCTGAGATCAAAATGGACACTGCAAGTTGGAACTCGAACAAAGGAGTAGCGGGTGCTGATGGCAGAGCTCAGGAGAGAAGGGACGCTGGCGGCCACCTCGTCCAGCCTCAGCACATTTGGCGCCGTGTTCTCCAGCTGCTTGATGACTCCTCTCCGCACTAATTTGACAGGAGAGGTCGCTTAATCTACCTTAGCAAATGTACTTCGCTGATCTTGCATGTCCGTTCACCAGTGAGCTGGAGCCCTGGTGTCGGAGGGTTTGTGCCTTGTAAATAGAAAATTCATGCAGAAGGGAGACCTGAAAACCAAATATTAGTAAAATGCCCCCAGACTATTTGATGAAAATAACATCATCCTTACACAGTTTGAATTCTCCCAGAGACCTCACAATAGTTCTAGGCTAGAATTTATCCTTCAGAGCATTTACATAAGGATGTAGCATAATAACTAAGAATTCTGGCTCCTGGGGCAGTTTCTTTGGAGGGTGAGGCGGGAACAGGGACCCTGAGACTGTTCCACGAGCTGACATCCCCATCCATCCCAGACAGCCCGGCTGGATGCATAGATCTGGGTACAAGACCCACTGCTACCGTAGCTGTTCAAACTCCCCCGGCGCTGTCCTGATTGGTGAAAGTTCCCCTCCCTCAACCATGCTTAGCCCCAGAAGTCTTCCTGACAGGCAGTGCACCCAAACCCTCCCCGCCCTTTCCACCTCTTCCTCTAGGCACAGTAATCAAGCCAGTAACACCATGGCTTCTGGAAAGGGGAAGACATTCAGGTGCTCTCTGGCTTCTTCATCATTTCTGCAGCTCCCTGGACCAAAACATCCCCGGTTACCTCTCCACTCCATCATACGTATTCTCTCTCTCTTTTGGAATGTAGGCTAACATAGGATAGAAACGATCTCTCTTTTGTGTCTCTCCTAGTGGGAAGGGATTGTTTCATTCTTGACGTTTGTATTCCCAGATATGGGATGTTCAGGGAGGACCACCACCTCTGGTGTGAGGGCTGATGAGCCATTTTCAGGGATACTCATCCACCTTTGGCGTCTGCTTTCACTCAAATCTCCCCTCTGGCTCCAAGAAGCTGTAGCACGTACATTGGCCACACACCGGTAAACCACCTCAGCAACCAGGTTGAAGACAACTGACAGGCCTCAAAACCAGTGGGGATTTAGGGGGATGTTTACCCCAAGCATGCAAAGCCCTCCCCTGCTGGAATGGGTGGATGAGAACAATTTATTCCAACGGGCCACGAAAGTGGCTGAAGCAGTGACATGGAGCTCTCGGAGCTTGGTCAGACGTGGAAGACTCCAAGGTCATCCACTGAGGCTCGGGAGGCCATCAGTTATTCTGACTTTTGTTCTGCCATTGGGCTTCAATGACTCTGGAAAGGAAAGTGAGGCTGATAATTTTGTGCGCCTCTGTGTCACTTAAATGCAATTAACCCACAAATCAAGATGCCACCTCATGATGTCACAGTCCTCTTCAAAAACAAAGGGCAGACAAGACCTAGGGCAGTGCCTTTCAAGGGACACTAATCAACCGATCAACAAACATTAGGTGCTTAATAAATGTTTGTGGATTGACTGCTTTGTATCCAAATGATTAACTCTGTGCCTGACATAGCAGGTGCTTCACAAATGCCTTTTTATTCATCAAGAAATGGGTAAACCCGGGAGAGGGGAGAGGGAATGAATGATCTTACTCTCCTAATATTTGGCTTAAGGAGGGAAAAACGGTACACACTCAATTAGGTATGGAAATCTGTCTTACCCTACAGGAAAATAGGGGGGAAGAGGATGGGGGGGTGTGATAGAACGGAGGACAAATTGGGGGAGGGGTAATCAGAAGCAAACACTTCTGAGGAGGGACAGGGTCAAAGGAGAGAATAGAATAAATGGGGGATGGGATAGGATGAAGGGAAATAGAGTTCGTTTGTCACAACATGGCTACTATGGAGGTGTTTTACATGACTGCACATGTGTGTAACCTGTATCAAGTTGCTTGCCTTCTCAATAAGGGTGGTTGGGTGGATTGGAAGGGAGAGAGTTTGGAACCCAAAGTTTTAAAAACAAATGCTAAAAATTGTTTTCACATGCAACTGGGAAATAAGATATACAGGCAATGGGGTATAGAAATCTATCCTTCCCTACAGGAAAATAGAAGGGGAAAGGGGATAAGAGAAGGGTTGGGGTGATAGAAGGGAGGGCAGATCAGGGGAAAGGTATTCAGAATGCATGCCGTATTAGGGTAGGGGGAGAGGAGAGATGGGAGAAAATTTAGAACTCAAAATCTTGTGGAAGTGAATGTTGAAAACTATAAATTAATTAATTTAAAAAAAGACAGGTCTCCGTTGTGGCTCCACCAACACTGGTGGCATAAATAGAGGCAAGTCATTTGACCTATCTAAGTAGAGTTTCCTTACCTTCAAAATGTGAATAATGATATTTATTTGTTCTGTGAGCTGTGGGAAAACAGTTGGTAACCATAAAGTATTAGATACATGAGTATTGATGCAGTTATTACTGACTCTCTACAAACCTCTTTGAACCTCAGAGTTTTCCCTGCATAGTGCTAAGTTTCCACTTTGGTCACTATACCTGTGTCTAAAGATGCAGTATTAATCAGTTATGTGATCCAATTAAGTGTTACAGTGCTTTCTAAAAGAAAGAAAGAAAGAAAGAAAGAAAGAAAGAAAGAAAGAAAGAAAGAAAGAAAGAAAGAAAGAAAGAGAGAGGTGAAAGGCAGGCCCTGCCCTCAGGAAGGCACAGTCTAACAATGCTCACAGGCACCATGCAAACAAACAGCTTCCATCAAGGTCTAGTTGACTATAGTGGAAACAATTTAAATGCATTTCATTTCTGTGTCTGTCTCCCCAGTATCTGGCCCCCTGAGCACACGGAGCAAATCCTTGTGGACTTGGATTGCTTTGGATGACCTGATTCTGTCCCAGTCTCCAAGCTACAGGACTGCGCCCAGGAGGGAAGCATATGGAGGCAGCCATGGTGCTGCTGGACTGTGCTTGTGAACCCCTAGATTGCCAATAGCCAGACAAGACTCCAGTCAACAGAACTCACACCTAAGAGAGCCCGGAGGGGCCTCTACTTCGTCCCTTGTATATAGACAGTTCAATTTATTGACAAATGAGAGACATCAGGGTTGGGAAACAGTGCTGGGAGCTGGTGGAGCTTTGCTATGTCCCACCCATTGTATTTCTGTGCCTAGAAGCATAAAATCACACCCATGCCCTGTGGCGTCCCATTGATTTCCAATCAACCCAGCTTGCCAGATGTTGTTTGGCCTAAGTACAGCCTTGACCTCTACCAGGGATGACGCCGGTCCTCCCAGCCCTTTGTGGCAGGTTATTTTCCCAGCAGGGAAGTTCCACTCCCCCAACATTGGCTGTTATAACCTTGGCTGGAGGCTCGAAGGGTTTCCCATATGTCGTGGGCGGAGAGTCCAAGCAAGCCTGGCATTAACTCCAACCAAGCGTCTAGCACCAGCCAGGCCGGGGCCTGCTCCCAGGAGATTACAAGTGGTCCCCTCCCCCAACTAATTATAAGGATGTGGCCTCCTGTTGATAAAAGGGATTTGGGGAGGGGGGAAGAGGATGCCTGATTTAACTAGGGTGGGAGTAAGGAGCTTCCCGGAGATAGCCCCTAAACCACTGAGGCATCCCTTAAAGACTTCTGATGGGCCTGAGTTGGGGCCATGCCTGGGATTCGGGTGGGCATTTGCTTTATTCATTCTCGAGGATGACTGAGAACCCAGGGATACAAATCTGTTTCCTGCAGCTTGCCACAGGATTCCAGGGGTCTAGATTTTATCTATGAGTCATGTTGTCCTGAGAGCCGGCACAGGCAAGTAAGTAGGCAGTTTAGTTCAGGAGGATGTCGATGGCATCGAGTCAGAAGTTATTTGAGTGTGACAGAAAAAGCATTGAATTTGGAGTCAGTTAACCAACCTGGTTCAGATCCCAGCTCTGCCCCTGACTTCCAGTGTGGCCATGGGGAAGTGCATTCACCTTAGCCTGTAAAATGGGGGTCTAGACCAGGGGTGGGGAGCCTGTGGCCTTAAGGCCATGTGTGACCTTCTAGGTCCTTAAGTGAATCGAGCTGCACTTGTGGCCTTAAGGCCGCAGGCTCCCCACCCCTGGTTTAGACTAATGAGCCAGCTGGGTACATAGCCGTAGGGGCATCAGAGTCAAATAGAAACAGACCCGCTAATCCCTACGGAAGAGTCCCTACAGACTGCATATTGACTCAGTTTTAAGATTCGATGTTACCTATGTTTTACTGCATTTTTAGTTATCTTGTTAAATATTTCCCAATTACTTTTTAATCTGGTTTGGGCTGCACTGGGGAGTGTTGGGAGCATATGTTGCCCACCTCTGGTGTGGTAAACAGAATGCCAGGGTCGGGAAGAAATGAGTTCAAATCATACTGCAGATATTTACCAGTTGTATGACCTTAGGCAGCTCACTTAACCTTTCTGTGCCTCAGTTTCCTCATCCATAAGCCCTAGTGAGACATCAGCATTGGTGTTATTATTATACCTGATTATCACTAATCAATACACACAATTATAAATTAATAATATACCAATAATAACTGTTATTGTTGTTATTATTATTATGGTAACAAAGGTCCCTTCCAGCTCTAAATCTACGGTCTTAGGATTTCATATCTTTCTCCTGGAGAAACATGATAGTGTTTATGGCTGCACTCTGGCGCTCCTTGGGGTTGCTGGAGAGTCGAAGCTACTCCATCGCCCCAATTAATTGAGCAATAGTATCCTTCTGGATCAAGGCCAAAAGCAGCTGCTAAAGTTAGCCAGGTTAGGTCAATGTCCATATGGCTCTGTGGCTTAATCAAATTCTATCTAGCCCTGGAGATGAAGAGAAAACATTTGAGCATTAAGCTTGTGGAATCGAGAGCTGGGAGGAATCTCAGGGGTCAACTAGTCTCATTCCTTCTTTTTACAGAGAGGGAAACTGAGGGGAGGTTACATGCTCAAGGTCTCCCAGGCAGAAAACAATCAGATACAGAATTGGAAGCCAAGACCCCTGGACATCAGAAGCTACCCTCTTTCCCCCCTGCCTTCATACTCTGCCTCCATTTTTGCAGGGAATTACTGTGTCAGAGGGAGGAGGGCTTGGGAAGAAAAGGAGGAAGGGAGAAGTAAACCACAGGACCCTGAACTAAATTTAAATGATACTAAGTTATTTCACAACTCCCGAACCAACTCCTGGTATTCTAATTAAGCTAAATGGCTATGCAAATAGAGGCATTCAAGCCCTATCTCCGGAGCCCAGCTCCTGCAGTGGGTGAGACTTGGTGTCCCCAGTAATTAGAGTCCTGCCAAAACCTCACCCCCACCCCACTCCCACCCCCAGGCACTCACTTGTGCCCAGCTGCTCCTTTGTCCGGTTGAACAACAGGACGCCGCCCATTTTCCCATCAGCGTAATAAGATGGGACACCTCGGGGGCACCCAAGCGAAGGATGAGGTAAAGCCAGGCACAGGCTGAGGGCCCAGCTCCCCTCCTGCCCCATTTCTCCCCAGCACCACTAGCCGTCGCCCACGGATTCCATACGTGTCCACAAAACCACGGATTTAGAGCTAGAAGGGACCTCCCAAGCCCTTCATTGAAAACAAATGAGGAAACCGAACCAAGGCTCGGCAGGCTGAATGACTTGCCCGAAGTCACATAGGTAATAGGTGTCAGAGGCAGGCTTTGAAGTCTGCTCTTCTGACTCCTATACTTATTCCACACCACTTCAAGAACGTTACAGACTTTATTTCATTTAATTCTCACTATACACCTAAATAGTACAATTGGTAAGGGAAACAGTATTATTCCCATTTTTAAAACCAGTCTTGGGAGCTCTCAGTGAGGAACCTTCCCCGCCAATGAAGATCTGTGCTTTAGAGCCTCAGGTCCCCGAGGCCCACTGGTGGCTCACCCGGCATCTGCAAATCTTTCTCCTTTACAGAGGTGGGAGGTCCGTGCATTGAACAGATTTTCAGACTTTTTGGCTGACTTTTTCTCCTTTTTATTCTCTTTAAAAATATCTCTGGTAGGGCAGAGAAGAAGGGTTACTAGGAGAAATTTTAGTGATACGAGGAAAAAAAGCAAGAGCTATCAATAAAAATTCATTGGAAAAAAAAAGCCTCAAAACTCTCTGCGTCTTGGTTTCTTCATCTTCAATAATAATAATGGTTACATTTATACAGCATCTACTGTGTACCAGGTACTGTGCTCAGTGCTGTATAACTATCTCATCTGGTCCTCACAACAACCCAGAGTAGGGGGTAGGTGCTATTATTATCCCTATTTTACACATGAGGAAACTGAGGTAAAGGTTAAATGACTTGCCCAGGGTCACACAGTCAGTGTTTGAAGACAGATTTGAACTTGGGTGGTTCTGATTTCAGACCCAACACTCTATGCCCTATGGGACCACAAGCTTCCTCTATTCAAAAATGGGGATTTAAAAGAAACATTGAGAAGTGAAAAGACTGCCGCCCTTGGAAAACTTTTATCCCAGGCTTGCTACTTGGTTAGTTTTGTAACTTCAGGAAAGTTACCTAAGCTTTCGAACCTCAGTTTCTATGTCTATAAAATGGGGAGAATAATTCCTGCAGTACTAATTGTTATGAGAATCAAGCAAGAGAATATATGTAGAAAGCACTTTGAAAAGTGTAAAATACAAATGTTGGCCCAGAACCAAATTCTGGGTTTACATGGACCTCGATCCATCTAGGGAACTTCTCACTATTCATACTCTTTGGCTCATGCCTCGACCCAGCGCCAAGGGTCTGGATCCTGCCCAAGTCTCTGGATCCTGCCCAAGTCTCTACAATTGAATTGAATTCAATTCAAAGTTCAATAAGGTCCTACTATGCACAAGACAAAAAAAAACCCCGAAACATTCCCTGATCTCCCAGAGCTTCAACTCTGAGCTCAATGGGGGTGGGGAACAAGACAGGTACATATATGTAATATAAAGTCACTTAAAGAAGGGGGTCAGGGAACAGTTGAAGAAAGATCTAGATTCTGCTCAGCAGAGATGAAGAGGGAGTGCATTCTAGGCATGGGGGACAGCCAATACAAAGGTGTGGAGATGGGAGAGGGAGTGTCCTGTGTGAGGAACTGAAAGAAAGCCAGCATGGCATCGATTATATGGAGAGGAGTAATAGATAATGGAGCTGGAAAAGTAGGACATTGCCAGGGTATGAAGGGCTTCAAGCACCCCAAAAAAGGATGTTACCTCTGATCTCAAAGTTAACAGGGAGCTATTGGAATTTATTGAGAAGGAGGATGACATGGTCAGACCTGAGTGTTAGGAAGCTCCATCTTTCTAATGGATTGAAGGGAGGAGAAACTGCAGGCAGGAAGTCCAATGAAGCATTGTTTGCTGTAGTCCAGGGAGGAGGTGATGAAACTCTGGTCTAGAGTGGAGAGGAGTTACGGAGAAGAAAAATGACAAGATTTCTGTTTTGAACTCCATTCCACATCACCAGCTGCCTGCTGGACGTCTCCAAATGGATATCCCATCAGTATCTCTAATTCAACATATCTAAAACAGAACAAATTATCTTTCTGCCTTAAACCCCACCTCCCAACTTCTCTTTCTCTCTGTCTCTCTCTGTCTCTGTCTTTCTCCTTCCCTCCCTCCCTCCCTCTCTCTCTCCCTCCCTCCCTCCCTCTGTCTCTCTGTCTCTCTGTCTCTCTCTCTGTCTCTGTCTCTCCCTCCCTCCCTCCCTCCCTCTCTGTCTCTGTCTCTCTGTCCTCTCTCTCTCTCTCTCTCTCTCTCTTCCCTCCCCCCCCCTCTCTGTCCCTCTCTCTCCCTCCCTCTCTCTGTGGCACAGCAATCCTCCCAATTCAGATTCATAACCATTAGGAGTCATCTTTCATCCTTCCCTTTCCTTCCTTCGATCAGTTGCCAATCTTGTCAATTCTGCCTCTTAGAGTGGAATGTCTTACATCTAGTGCCTTTCTCCCTACTCAGTCTGCCATCTCTCACCAGGACCATTTTAATAGCCTCCTGATTAGCCTTCCATCTGCCATACAACTTCTAAATCGTTGGTTACAATTGTTTCCTCCACTAGAATGTGAGCTTCTCAAGGTTAGGGACTGGGTTTGCTTTTCTTCATATTCCTGTGTAGCAGAGTACCTAGCACATAGCAGGGGCTGGATAAATGCTTGTTGATTTGATGACTAAGGGAAAGATCTGACCATGTCACTCCCTTGCTCAGTAGTTCCCTACTGCCTCTAGAATGAAGTTCAGATTCATCAGACTCATACTGAGCTCTTTCCACAGTCTAATTCCCACCTACCTTTCTCATCTTAGTTCACATTTCTCCCCTTACTGTACCACGACATCACCTGGGCCGTCACCAGTCCTCTTGACTTTGTCTTGCCACTGCATTCTGATGACCCTGGAGGAGAGAGTGAGGCTGATGATTTTGTTCAGCTCTGTCCCATTTAAATCCAATCCACGTGGAGTCAAAACTCACTCTCCTGATGCCATTAGTACAACCACAGTCAACAACCATGAACTCACTACACCTCCTTGCTGCCTGAAAGATTCTATCTGCATGTCCTAACCCTCCTTCAGGGCTCAGATCAGAAGGCTTCTCCATGAAGCCTTCTCGGATTGCTCCAGTTGTCAGTGCTCTGCAGGGGGAAGGAGGGTTGGATGTCAAGTCCAGACTCCTGGGTTCAAATCCTGACTCTGTCTTTGTGACCATGGACAAGTCACTTAACCTCATTAAACCTCATTTTCCTCATCTATAAAATGCGGACATTAAACTAGATGTCCCCTGAGGTCTCTTCCATGTCTTCCAGACTATTATGTTTCTCTCTCTCTCTCTCTCCTCTCTCTCTCTCTCTCTCTCTCTCTCTCTCTCTCTCTCTCTCTCTCTCTCCCCCTCTCTGTCTCTGTCTCTCTGTCTCTCTCTCTCTTTCTCTCTCTATCTCTCTGTTTAGCAATCCCTTTGGTGACAGGGATGTTTTTTGCTTTTGTCCCCAAACCTAGCCTAGTGCCTTACACATAGCAGATGATGAAGAAATGTTTTCCAAATTAAACTGTTCATTCATGGGCAGATCCAAGAATTCATAGCATCATAGTACTTAAAACTGGAAAGGACCTTAGAAATCCTCTATTCCAACACCCTCAGTATACATATAAGGCTCAAAGAGGCTGTGGCTTATCCTGGGTTCCAGCAGAGCTAGAGTTTGAACCCGGGTCCTCTGACGATGCAGCCAGCAGAAATGGCAACCACAATTCACAACCATGTGTCTGGAGGTTTTCTTCTTTCAGGAACTGTGTTAGGGCTGGCTTCTGGCCAACAAGATCATGGCCCCCTTGTACAATACAATGTTGTTTTTTAGCTGATGTCTAGGGTGACAATAATTAATGAGCTTGTAAAAACGCCTCTTCCCCACCCCCCACGGCCCATGCGCAGTATTTACCAATTTTGTTGGAAAAGCCTGGAAGAACCAGCGTGTGTTAATTAATTGGTCTTCAGGTAATAACTAATTCGAAGGTGTCTTGTGGTGTCCTGGGAAGCAGGCTACTTGGCTTTCCCGAGAATCAATCAGCCCAAGATTGATGAAGGGCTTCGAAGGTCAGATTTGCAAACACAGAACCATCTGCACCCTCTCCTGGGCTGATACTTGCAATAGAGCAATTTTAGAAGAACAGGTGTTCACTTTTAATCTAGCTCTCTTCTTTTCTGCTGAAATGCTTTTTCAGGGTGGGTTTTTTTTTTCTAGAAAGAGCTTCCTGTTAGTTGGGGAGAAGGAGGTGCAGCCTCTTGTTACTTCCAAGATCCTGGCCAGAGTCCTGCCCCAGCAGCTCGCTCCCACACGACCTTGTTGGAAGAGGCACTGCTTGGGTCCCACAATTCCCTCAGAAGAAGCTTGAAGTGTTGCATAGGACACTTACTATCCACGTGACCTTGGGCAAATCACTTAACTTCCGTGGGTCTCACTCTCCTTGCATGTGGATCAAATAACTTGTCCTAGCTAGGCCCCTTGCAGTCCCCTCACCCCATGGTCCTACACAGAGGGCTGGGGAGATAGGATTCAAACCCAGTTCTTCTCTGTCTGTTCCCTTCAGTCATTCTGATGATTCATCGATGTTTTTCTCTTTCTTTTGATGAAAATAAAATCGTCTCACATAAACCTGCCTCTGTGCAGGTCCCCCAATAGCCTCCAGGGTCTCAAAGGAACGGTCTAATTCCCTTTAGCACAGACAGAACATCTGGTCAGAATTGAGAAGCATGGATGCCAAGCTGGAAGGAATCTTGAAGATCATCAGGACCAGGGATTCTTCACTTTTTTGTGGAATGGAGCCCTGGAGCAGTCTGCTAAGCCTATGGACCCCTTCTTAGATTTGTTTTTAGGTATGGAAAATAAAGTACATAGTATTATAAAGAAAACCAATTATAAGTATTAAAAAACAAAGATGT